TTTCCATTTTGCATCAGGACAATGATAACAACGTATATCATCACTTCGTACTTCATCAAATGATGTTAATGTTGGATTGTCATTTGTAGTTGCTGTTGACGGTAGTGGTGGTGGATGTGATCCTGCTGCTGTTGCTCGTGAGCGAGGCTTGTCATGTGCTGTTGCTGTTGCTGTTGAAATACATTAGAAAGGAAAATTTAATGAAAAAATAATTTATTTTTTAATTACCTTTTTCTTTTTCTTTCATATAAGATGAAATAAGATCATGTAAGAAATAAAAATGTTCAGCATTAAATGAAAACATAATATGTTCATAGAATTCCGTTTCAAAACTACAATGTACTTGTCCTAAACGAGAAAAAAAATATATTTTCGTTTAATTTTTCCTGATAAAATTTACCAGATAATTGACGTGTTTGAAAACGTAATTCAAGAGCAGGAAGAATAAATATTGATTCAGCATTTTGTTCATATTGTTTTGAACGTACTTTAGTTGGTGGTGTAGGAATTGGTACATCATCCATCGTTGGAAAATCACGTAAACCTAAAATTTATGATATAATAAAATTTAGATGTATTATTAGTAAAACTCTTATATAGAACGTACCGACAGCAGAAATAGTTGAACTAGCATAATTAAACCATTCATTAATGGTTAAATGTGATGGTGGTGCTTCATTACTATTTCTTATAACTTTTGATATTGAAGCCATATTTGTTCGTGATTTCGGAGTAGCTGGTATTGTTTGTCCTTGATGTCCCAAATAGAAGAATAATTTTTGATTAACTTAAAAAGAAGAAAAGCAAACAGCTCAATTAAAAATTTATTTTTTTATATAAAACTTACTATCATCATTTTCGCCTCGATCAGTAACAAAATTAATTTGTGGTTCATTAAGTGAAAATAAAGCCCATTGACGTGCTTTAAAATTCGATCCATGAAAAACAACTAATGTTAAATTATGTCCTTGTAACATTAATTCTCCTCCATGCATACCAATATATCGTTTTATAATATTTGTATCATATTTTGATTGTCCAGTTGTAGTTTTTTTCTCGACATTATTTCGTTTAATACCATCATGAAAATCCGAATGAATTGATGCTAATAAACTTTTCGAATTATGTAAATGTGCATTGAAAAATTCCGATAATTTCATAATCATTTTTATTATATCTGGTGTTGTTGAACGTGTTATCATTAAATGTAATTGTGACCATTCCATATTAACAAATACAAGTGTTGATGAAGGTGTTAAAACATTTCCAGGTGTTCCATGATGATCATCTTTTAATCGAAGTAATATATGACTTATACGACCCATTAATGTTGGAAAACTCATATAATCAAGACGAATTTCAATAGCATCTGCTAAAACATCGAATGTATGACATGATTCATTGAGAAGTGCAGGATCATGAAGAGCATGTCGTATAAGACCTGAAAAGTATGCATAATAGAATTAGAATCGATATACCAATCTATTATTAAAGATAATTTACCTGTAGTTCGAAGATTTTTTAACCGAATAATTCCTCCTACAATGCCTTCATCTGCTTGAAATACAGATTTTTGAAGGCCTACTGAAAAGAATAATGCTCTTTGTCCATCATTTGTTAATGTTAAACTTGCAGTTGAACAAACATCAGTTGTATTCCATTCAACTTTTCCCATAACATTCGACATACGCATTGATACTTGTAATTCTTTTAATTGTATTGCTAAAAGTACTCGAGCTTCTTTACGTAATTGTTTATTAGTTGTTGTTTTTATAATTGTTGGAGCTATTGGTCGTGTAAATGTATTGGATGTTGTTGATGATGTCGAAGATGATGATGAAGATGATGCCATTGTTGTTGGAATAGTTTCATCACCTAAGAATAATCGACGAGCTAATGAACGATTATACCATATTTTTGGAAATGTTAAAATTTCTGAAAAACGTTTTATATCATATTCAAATTGTGCTTTTGATATTTGTCCAATAATTGATAATTGTATATTATTTAAAAATTCACCATCACGTTCAATTAATGTATAACGTGTACGTGATATATTAAATGAAACAGATTGTACACTAACTGCTAATGCATTACGTGTACGTAATTGTCCTGAACGTATATCTTCGAATAAATGTACTTTTGATTCACCAGAAAATGGATGATAAACATTTAAATGAAAATCTTTCATATAAAGTGAAAAACTTAAACCACCAAGACTATTTTCAAGAATTTGTTCCGATTCATTAACATTTGTTGTTGATGATGATGATGGAATATTATCTAATAAAGCACGTTTTGAAGAAAATACAACATCAACAGTTGGTAAACGAAGTTCACATTCCATTGGATGTGTTGGTAAACATGTAAAAAGTAGAACAGATGGTTGAATAAAAAGACTAACAACAACATCAATTGGAAATGATGTTGTAGATGATTGATCTTCAATTAAAAACCTATAAAAAAATATAGAATACGGTATAGTAATGAATATTTAATAAGATTAAACTTACATAGTTTTTAAATGATCATTATCAGAAGTTTGTTCATTAGCATTTTGCATTTGTTCTTGTTGTAAATTAGTTTGTCTATCTTGTTCTTGTGGTAATGTTACATGTTCAAGTGTTTGTTCAAGAAAATCAAGTAATAATGGATGAATCGTTATTTGTGTTGTTGGTGATTGTATCATAGCACGACAATAAAAACTAGCTCGTTTATTTAATGCACTATTCATAGTATTATTA